GGCGGATTATGAGGAAAACCTCGGAGGCCTCGCGAGGCAACTTGAGACCCAATGTACGTCGGATCCACGTCGGATTTACGTCGGAGTCCAGTCGGATTGCGTCAGACTTACGTCGGGTTTCCATCGGATGTACGTCGTCCTCACGTCGGAGCATCGCCGCGCAAACGTCGACCCACACCTTGCGTAGCAGCCGTGCGAGCTGATGATACAACTATTGCGCGCCGAGCGAGGCCTCCAGCACGCTTCTCCTCACGAGGCGGGGCTCTTTGGGGGCACAACGAGGTGCCCGCACCGCTAATCCAGAACAAGCAATGACACAAACCCAAAACTCTGAGAGCCGCACGGATTCCTCAGATCGGCGCTGGACCCCCCCCCCTCCCCCCCGGCGCGCGGAGCGCCCCAGGGGAGGCGCCGCCAGTGGGCGCCAGCGCCGATCCGAGGTATTCGCGCAGATCTCCGAGCTGTCTACAGGATTCGGCCTGATCTAAGGAAAGATAAATAAGGAACGAAACCTCTTTTTTTCCAAGTGAGTCTAGGAAGTCCGAAGGAACACCAGGGGAACTCGCCGCCAAGAAGGTAGCCGAACGCATGCAAACCAAATGAACGACCGAACCCCTTCTGAAAAAAAAGTAGGTGTTCCTTCTTCAAGCTGGACCCTGTATGTTGATGTCCTTGTGTGCTCACCTCGATGCAAGCTCGGCCGTGGTGACGAGAGCCCTCCAAGACGAGCAGGGGCATCGGTACCTTCTTTGCCCTCTGGCTCTTGCTCTGGCTCGCGGGGGAGGGGCGGGCGAGAGGGAGAGACCGCCGCACGTGCCATTTGGAGAGGATGGCCGCGCGGCGCGCGCCTCGAGCTCCGCGGAGCGCGGAGCTGAGCAATCCGCAGCCGACGTCGTGCCGTCGGTCGGAGGATCGGGGATCCCAAAGCCGTGTGGCGACCGGACCGTGCGGTGACCTCGGAACCCCGAGAGACCCCACCGCACGGCCCATCACCGCACGGCCTTGGGACCCTGGAAGCCCCCGTCGCCAACGACATCCTCTCGGAGAGGGACTCGAGCCCCAAAACCCGTACGGCGACCCCGAACCCCACCGACTCACCACACGGCGTGGTCGCCACACCGCGTGAGGGCCGGGAGGACGACGTGGGGAGGGGCTGCCCCGAGGGGGGCCCGCGGCGGCCCGAGGCGCGCGCGCGCCCCTTTCGAGGCCGAGGGCGTCCGCAGCGGGGCGCGCGCCCCCCGCGCGCCGCGCGCCCGCGAGTGCGGCGAGCCCCGACAGCCTCCACAGCTGCCAGCGCGGGACGGCGCACCCAAGCGCGAGCGCGTTGTCGCCGGTGTGCTCGGCGGTGGCCGTGCGGGCGAGCACCACGAAGCCCAGCTCCAGGAGGTAGCGGAGCACCACCTGGGCGAGGCGAAGAGGCGGATCGTGCAGTAGAGGCCGATCCACAAGAGACCTTCCACAAGAAACCCTGACCCGAGACCCCAGGGCGTCCGTCGACTTTTGGTGTGGGAGGCATCAAGCTTTCCATACCAAATCCGCCGGCCCCCTTGTGGGGCCACCAGGCTGTAGGCGCGTGATTCGCAGTTTCCTGTTCCAGTTGTAGCTTCTGCTTCTTGCTGGTTACTGTAACTAGTTGATTGACCGCGCGAGGGGGGGGGAGGCCCAAACAGGACTTTTTAGCACCTCCTGGGCGCGTTGTCTGAATTGCTGGGGGGGCTCGAAATCGACACCCCTCACGCAGATCCGCGGGGTCAGGGTCCAAAAACACAGGGGATTTGCCACATTTCTGAAATTCGGTGCCACCCCTCACGCAGATCCGCGGGGTCAGGGTCCAAAAACACAGGGGATTTGCCACATTTCTGAAATTCGGTGCCACCCCTCACGCAGATCCGCGGGGTCAGGGTCCAAAAACACATGGGATTTGCCACATTTCTGAAATTCGGTGCCACCCCTCACGCAGATCCGCGGGGTCAGGGTCCAAAAACACAAGGGATTTGCCACATTTCTGAAATTCGGTGCCACCCCTCACGCAGATCCGCGGGGTCAGGGTCCAAAAACACAAGGGATTTGCCACATTTCTGAAATTCGGTGCCACCCCTCACGCAGATCCGCGGAGTCAGGGTCCAAAAACACAGGGGATTTGCCACATTTCTGAAATTCGGTGCCACCCCTCACGCAGATCCGCGGGGTCAGGGTCCAAAAACACAGGGGATTTGCCACATTTCTGAAATTCGGTGCCACCCCGGGGATTTGCCACATTTCTGAAATTCGGTGCCACCCCTCACGCACATCCATCGCAAGGCGTGGTAACCCAAACTGCGAGTACTCCCTCGGCCCTTTAATCCCAAGGTGTGGTAACCAAGCTCGTAAACCATACACGTCTTACCAATCGCCCTGTGTGGTAACCCCTCTTGTGATCAGTTGGTTTTGCCGATTGCGAATCGGCCTCGCATGAAGTTCCGATACTGCTGCACAACGGCGCCAAGGCCTCATGACTTAGCTCTTCCATGGCCCATTCTCCGAGAGAGGGGGCCGGCGGCAGGGGGCGAAGCCCTTACGGATAAACCATCGAAGCCCGAGAAACCCAGGGCACCCTGGAGGCAAGCAGGGTATTTCTTGGCATGGGTCTCCACTATACGCGAGGTGAGGTGGCGACCTTGCGCGGCGGCTTGCGCGGGCCGCCGGCGCGGCACGCCACGTTGGAGACGAGGGCGCTCACGCGCGACCTTACGCGGGCAGCTTGCGCGCCAATGTCGGCGCAGACGACCCCGTGTTTTTGCGTCGCCCACCTGGGCGACGAGAAGAGGTGGATCTTACGCGAGATGGCATAGCAGCGGCCTTGCGCCGCGGCTTACGCGGGCCGCCAGCGTGGCATACCGCGTGGAGAAGAGGGCGCGTCCGCGCGACCTCGCGCGGAGAGCCTGCGCGCGAAAGCCGACCCCGTTTCCTCGGGTCGCTCACCTGCGAGGCCGAGCAGTGGTACTCGGTCGCAAGCGCCAGCACGTGCGGGTCCTCCCGCACGGGCAGCGGGAACGCCGCGTGGCTGAGGGCGAAGAAGACCGCGGTGCGCAGCCCGTGGGCGGCGGCCCAGTCCAGCAGCGACCCGCCCGGGCCCACTTCCTCCACGGCGCCGCCGCTCAGCTCGGCCTCTGCGGGCTCGTAGAGCGACCAGCGCACCTGCTGGAAGCTGGGCGGCGCGGCGGCGTGGCGCCAGAGCGCCTCCAGCTGGTCCAGGTTGAAGTTCGACACGCCGATCGCCCGCGCGCGGCCCTCCGCCTGGCACCTCCAGAACAATTAAAGACCATCTTCAAGACAAGCGTAAGGTCCGCGCGGATGTCTCGGATGGGACCCTTCCCTGGCGCGCAGAGCGCGCCAGGGGCGGCGACGGAGGCGCCGCCAAGGAGTCCAGCGCAGATCCAAGAGATCCGCGCGGACCTTCAAAAGCTTATGCTTACGCCCAAGTTCTTTCTTCGGACCTCTCGAGGAAGCGCCAGTAGCCCAGGGTGGCCGCGTCGGAGGGGCCCGGGAAGTGCAGCATCAGGGCGTCCACATAGTCGGTGCCCAGCTCGGCCAGGTGATCGGCCAGCAGCTCCCCGGCGGCGACCTCGAACACCTCCGGGGCGCCGCCCTCGCCGCCCAGTTCGGGGTGCAGCTTGGTGGCGATTTGTCAGAGGAGGGCCAGTCGAGACGACGGCGGCCCTTCTTGGCGTTTCTCGTCCATTTTGGCCCTCCGCTTCTCGTCGCCACGGATCGATCTGTCAAAAAACGGGTCTGGATGGACCCCGGGAAGGGTCCGGGGACCGAATTTGACTGTTTCTGGGCTGGGTGGGAGGGCCGCCCGCCGTTGTCTCAGCTGGCCTTCCTCCGAGATGAACACCTCCCCGCGGCCGATCCCGCCCTCCGCCAGGGCGGCACGGATGCACGCCGCGGCGCCGTAGCCGGGCGCGGTGTCCAGGTGCCGGAACCCCACCTGCAGCGCGACCAGCACCGCCTCGACGCACCCGCGGCCCAGCGGCAGGTCCATGGTCCCGAAGCCGAGCACCGGCATTGGCACCGCCGCCCCGCCCGCGCCGCGCAGCGCGTGGGCGCGCCGCCCCATCGGCAGGCCCGTCTCGTGCCTCAGCACCTCCTGCGTGGCCGCCTCGTCCGGGTCCACGCACACCGCGAAGCCGGCGGCGCGGGACCTGGCGCACGGCCTGCCCGCGGCGCGCTCCGCGGCCGCCCGCGGCCAGAAGCGGACTTCCCGCCGCGGGGCCTCCGCCAGCGCCGGCGCGGACGCCTCCGCGAGCGCGCTCACGCGGCCGGCGAGGTGGCGGTAGGCCTCGGCGGCGTAGTGCATGGCCACGGCGCCGTGCTGCTGCACCGCGCCGCGCAGCTCCGACAGAGCGCCCACGAGCTCCTCCAGTTCGGCGCGCCCCTGCCGCCCGAGCCCAGCGGAGTCGCCGGCGAGCAGCAGGTTGTGCGCCACGTACTGCCAGACGGCAGGGGCCTCGGCCACGGGGCAGCCTTCGGCCTCGGGACAGCCATCGAGCGCCCGCTGCGCCTCGCCGAGCGCCCACTGCGCAGCCTCGGCGAAGGGCACGAACGACGGGGGGGCGGAAGCGCCGTCCACGAGGTCGTGGAAGTGCGTCGGGGCTGGGCGCAGCTCTTCGAACCAGCGGTCGTACTCGGGGTGCGACATCGCGATGCTGATCGTCCACCGGGTGGGACCGCCCTCTGGCGCGTCGTTCCCCGACTCGTGGTCGTACGCGACGTCGTAGACCATCACGGCGCCGTCGCGTTCGTACCAGCGCGTCTCGCCGCCGGCCGACAGCCACGAGAACTCCCCAGCGGTCAGGACCATGTCCACGTTCAGGCGCGTGTTGACGCCGTCGTTGTGGAGGGCGAGGTGGGCCCCCGGCGGGAGGCCCGCAAACGACCAGCACTCCTGCAGGGCCGACGCCCACGGCCTCCGCGAGAACGGGAAGAACGCGTTCACCACCGCGCACGTGATCGGCAGCCTACCGCAGTCGGGGCTCACGGTCAGCCACTCCTCGTGGGGAAACCAACAAATACCGATACCGCACACTCCGCGGGCCCCTCCCGGCCGGGGTGCGCTCTGACCTTGGATTACGAAACGAATTCAGCCGGGGCGACGAGGGCCTCCCAGGAGGGCCATACAGGCGAGAACGAGGCCAAGGTATAGTCGACCCGTATCAGAAGGATGTGCGGTAAGGATGCAAGGGCCTTGAAGAGGGCCACATGAACGCGTCCCGAGCGAGGCTGGCTAGCAAAAGCCGCGAAAGGGCCGATGGGGGCCAGGATGCGAGGGTGCCCTTGGGAAGGTTGCCCATCCTCACTATGCGGGCTGGCTGTAGCGGCATCGGTGCCATTTCCTCCTCCGATTCCTCGCGGTCGCCACTCCCCGCCGTGACCTCCAGGGCGGGCAGCGCGCCCAGGAACTCCCCGCGGAGCTCCCGGAAGCGCGCCCGCAGCGCCTCCACCACGCGCGCCACCGAGGGGCTCTGCGACGGCGACCAGAAGGGGCCCTCGCTCGGGAGCTGCGGGTAGAACACCGGGGTCGTCTGCCACGGGTCCTGAGCTGGCCGTGGCCCCACCGACCGCCACACCCTCGCAGATGGGATGCAGCCTCGTTCCCTTCGGGCTGCGCGGGGCCCGTCCCCACCCGGGGGTGGCGCCTGGTGGGGCCAAGATGCAGTCGCCCAGTGGGGGTCGGGGTGGATTAGACGGTGCTGAGGTCCCTCCACGGGAAGGGCCGCTCGCCCCCGCCCAGCCGCGCCCGCGTGGCGACGTCGAAGAGGCGCCCAGGCAGCGAGGGCAGCGCAGCGGCGAACCGCTTGGCCGTGACCATGAGCTGAGACACGATGTTGCGCAGGCAGCGGTCCTCCAGGGGCAACTGAATGGGAGAACCGGCTCAGGCGGGGAAATCTCGAGTTTGAATCGGCGGTACATCACCGGCAGATTGGCGACAGGCCCTCGATACCGAATCCGCGCGGTCCTGGGCGGGGCTGTCGGGCCCCTCGCTGCCAAAAGTGTCTCAGCTCGGGGAAAAAGAGACGGCATAGATGTAGACTTTCGGAGCTCCGCGTGGATTTCTTGGATCGGCGCCGGATCCTCCTGGCGACGCGTCCGGCCGCGCACCTGGCGCGCTCCGCGCGCCAGGGAGGGGGGTCCAGCGCCGATCCAAGAAATCCGCGCGGACCTTAGAAGGTTTATGTCCATGCCGTTCTTGCGTCGTTCCTGCTTTCTCAGAAGGCGGCGGGGCTTCTCAGAAGACCAGGGGCCTTCTGAAGAGTCTTCGGTGTCTCCGGGGCAGGCCCCGAGAACTCCTCGGAAGGCCCGAGGCCGTCCGAGCCTTCTGAGAAGGCCCGCCCCCTCGCACCCCCCCCCTCCAACAACATCAACAACCCGTCGGAGGGGCCGTCGGAGGGGGAATCGACTGTCGAAGGCCCGCCTCTTCTCACTCCCCCCCCCCCGTAATGACCACACCGACACGCGAAGTCGTTTAGTGAATGCGCCAAAAGAAGAACTCAAACAGGGCAGGGCTGTTCAGTAAACGCCCAAGGCCGTTGAGTAAACGCCAATTGTCCGGTCCGGGTGGCTTTCCCTCCCTTGACAAAGGCTCGCCGCCGAGCTGTGCTGCGCAGGCAGTCCGTCCACGAGGCCGCGCCCGACGCCCAGCACGCGACGTCCCCGGCGCCGCCGCCGGACTTCGGCCCTCGTGCGCGCGCCGGGTCCGCGGCCCGCCCCGCCGACGACGACGACGCCGCCACCGCCGCCGCCGCATACGACGACGACGACGACGCCGCCACCGCCGCCGCCGCATACGACGACGACGACGACGACGACGACGACGACGACGACGACGACGACGACGACGACGACGACGACGACGACGACGGCGGCGGCGGCGGCGGCGGCGGTAACGGCAGCAGCGGACGCCGCGGCGACAGCGGCGACGACAGCGACGGCGACGGCGACGACGGCAGCGACAACGACGACGACGACAACGACGACGACGACGGTGGCGGCGACGGCGACGTCGGCAGCGGACAAGCATGACGGTGGCGGCGGTGACGACAACCGCACTCGGCGCCGCACCCGCTTCTCAAAGGAGCGGTTCCCCTCGTCATCCTCCTCACCATCATTTTCCCTCGTCGTCCTCCTTATCGTCATTATCATCATGCTCTCTCTCATCCTCCTCATAATGTTCCTCCTCCTCATCATGGTCATCATCATCATCATCATCATCATCATCATCATCATCATCATCATCAACAGCAGCATCATCAGCATCACCATCAGCAGCAGCATCATCAGCATCATCAGCAACGTCATCAGCATCATCACCAGCATCAGTATCATCAGCATCAGCATCAGCATCAGCATCAGCATCAGCATCAGCATCAGCATCAGCATCATCATCATCATCATCATCATCATCATCATCAGCATCATCATCATCATCATCATCATCATCATCATCATCATCATCATCATCATCATCATCATCATCATCATCATCATCATCATCATCATCATCATCATCATCATCATCATCATCATCATCATCATCATCATCATCATTAGCAGTATCAACATACTCATCATCATCAGCATCATCAGCGTCATCATCATCATCATCATCATCATCAGCATCGTCATCATCAACAGCACCATGAATAACATCATAATCATATCAGCAGCAGCAGCAGCATCGTCGTCGTCTTCGACGGAGCCATCATCCTCACCATCGTCGTCATCATCGTCATCATCATCATCAGAATCACCATCACCATCGTCATCATCATTACCATAATCATCATTAGCATCATCATCAACTTCTTCATATCCATCATCCTCAGCATCAGCAGCATCATCACCATCTGCATCATCGTAATAATGAGCATCGTCAGCATCATCGTCGACATCAACATAACCAGCACCGACATCATCATGAACATGATTACATCGGAGGTTGGGGGGTGAGATCGCAGTGAAACGGAGACCCCCCACGGGGAAATCGGTTTCGGTTTCGTGTTCGTGTCGTGCGTGCGGGCGAGGCGAAGCTGCGCGTGATCCACCTGTAGCTAGGCCGAAGTAGGAGCGAAAGTCCGTTCCCATCCGCCGGTGGCTGGGAGGTGTCCCAATTGGGTCGGGCGGGGTCCCGGATGTCCCGGGTGTCAGTAGGAGCGAAAGCCCGTTTCCCGTCCGCCGGTGGCCAAGAAATGTCCCAATTGGGCCGTGCGGTGTCCCGGGTATCCTGGGTGTCCGGGGCGTCCCGGCGCTAACGCATGTCGCTAATGTCATAATTCATTTGTTCGGCGCCTGCGGCGGGCTTTCTTATCCAATCCAGATTATCTTATCCAATCCATCTTGTCCAATACAATCCATCTCATCTTATCCAACCCATATTGTCGCATCTTATCTTATCCCACCCTATCCAATCCACCCAACCCAATCCATCAAGTCATTTGTTTCTGCGCCTGCGGCGGGCCAATCCAATCCATCTTATCGTGTCCAATCAAGTTATTCCAATCCAACCCATCATATCTTATCCAATCCATCTTATCCCATCCAATACAATCCACCCAACCCAATCCATCAATTCATGACAGAGAGAGAGAGAGACAGAGAGAGAAAGAGATGAGATCAAGGTAACAGGCTGGAGGTCAGTCAGGATGGGCATTTGATCTCAATCCCCCCAAACCTTCTTATCGCCCGCAAGGCGGTCGTATAGGTAATCCTCCTACCCTGCCGGCGTGTGGAAGCCGCTTTTCCGTTGGTCGTCGTCATCATCGTCGTGTCGTCCCCAAGAGGCCCCTAAGACAGCCCTCGAGGGCCCCAAATCGCCGAACTATCGGTCTAATACGCCAAAGTAGCCTCCAGACGCCTCGAGAAGTTTTCAGAACGCCCCAAGAGGCTTCCAAGGGCACTGCCAGAAGGATCCCAAGAGCAAAAATCACAGATCCCCCCTAAGTGTTTAGAAGATTGTGGCGTTCTCGCGTTGTCGGCTTCCCGACGCTCCAAGACAGCCCAAGAGGCCCCCAAGATCGCCCAAGAGGCCTCCAAGAGGGCCCCAAAAGGACCCAAGAGGGCCCCAAGACCGCCCAAGAGGCCTCCAAGCCAGCCTAGGATGTCCCCAAGACCCGAACGGACAGTTGTTCTAGCCCTCGGCCTGAGAAGCTCCCAAGAGGCACCAAGAGGCTTCCAACAGACCCCCAGATAGGCACAAGAGGCCCCCACGAGGCTTCCAAGAGGCCCCCAAGAGCCTCCCAAGAGGCGCCAAAACTACCCCCAAGAGACCCCCAAAGAGAGCTCGTCGTCGTCGTGGTCGTCGTCGCGGCCGTCGTCGTCGTCGTCGCCGTCGTCTTTGCCACCGCCGCCGCCGCCGTCGGTGTCGCCGTCGTCGTCGTTCATGGTCGGCAGCACCGGCCGGAAGGGAAGGCCTCTCGAAAACCCAAGGCATCGTCAGTATCAGCATCTGTATCAACATCAACACCCTCATCGTCAGTAGTATCATCCTCGTCATCATCAGCACAGCATCAACATCGTCATCGTCATTATCATCATCGTCGTCATCAGCATCACCATCTGAAGTATCAGCATCCTCAGCATCATCATCAGCAACATCATCATCATCATCATCATCATCATCATCATCATCATCATCATCATCATCATCATCAGCATAAACATCAACACCATCATCATCCACAATAACATCAACCACAGCATCACCGTCACCACCATCACCACCACCACCATCATCATCATCATCATCACACCATCATCACATCACCAGCATCATCATCAGCAGCATCGTCAACCTCAGCATCAGCATCATAATCATCATCATAATCAGCATCAGCAGCTGCATCAGCATCATCAGCATCATCATCAGCATCGTCATCACAATCATCACCAGCATAAGTCTCATCATCAGCAGCAGCAGCAGCATCAGCGTCAACATCATCATCCGCATCCTCATCATAAGGATCCTCACCCTCACTCGCATTCTCATCCTAACCCTCGCAGTCTCCTTCCTTTCCCCCGTCCTCGTCCAATTATTTCTCTTCCTCTTTTTTGGACCTTCGGATTCGATTGAGTCTGGCACTCCCCAAATCGACACTTACATGCTTGGCGCTTCCGTCCATAGCCAGTTTGGCTCAAGCGAGCCTGGCTCACGGAAGGGCCCAACGCTTCGCGACGCGCCCCTCCGCGGCGCGCTTGCTTTGCGCATGCGGCCATGTAGCGATGCCCTGCCCGAGGGCAAGGTTTGGGCTGCTGCTTCCACCCGCACCCTGGCGCGGCGTCTGCGGCGGCGCATGCAGCAGCAGCTTGGACTGTCTCGTGCTGAGGTCCTCGCCCAGCGCACGAAGGCGTTCCGCAGGTCCCTGGCAGCGCACTGGGAGCTGACAGGTGCCTTGGGTTGGCATGCGGGCAAGATGGGCGAGGCTGTCGCTGCCGCCCGTCTCTTGCACATGCCCGCGGACTACATCAACGAGATGGAAGACTTACTGATGCACGGGAGCTGGGCGCGTCATCGGGCGCCCCCAGGCACCTGCGGACCGCCGCTGTCTTCATTGCCAAAGGGCGCAATCTCTGCTGAGGTGCTGGAAGCGTTCCGTGCTCGCCTCTTCTACCCTGCAGTTGCCAATGGAGTTCAAGACGGGCCTGCTTTTGAGGTTGATATGCATTGTCTGGTCGTGGCTGCCAAAGTTGCAGTTCCTTGTGAAGGGGCTGATGAGCTTCGTCTGCCTTTGCTTCGTCATGCAGATGGTGCTCTTGCGGCCGAAGTCCTTGTGCCAGATGGTGCTGGTGATGTTCGTTTGGCTGCCGACGTTCTTG